CCTGGGTGGCTCAGTTGGTTAAGTGACTGCCTTTGGCTCAGGTCATGATCCCGGAGTCCGGGGATCGAGTCCCACATCGGGCTCCCTGCTCAGCAGGGAGTCTGCTTCTCCCTCTGACCCTCTTCCCTCTCGTGCTCTCTCTCATCCTCTCTCTCTCTCAAATAAATAAATAAAATCTTAAAAAATAAATAAATAAAACTACACATGCATAGCTAAAAATAAAAAATAAAATGTAAAGGGGTGCCTGGGTGGCTCAGTCGTTAAGCGTCTGCCTTCGGCTCAGGTCATGATCCCAGGGTCCTGGGATCGAGCCCCGCATCAGGCTCTCTGCTTAGCGGGAAGCCAGCTTCTCCCTCTTCCACTCCCCCTGCTTGTGTTCCCTCTCTCACTGTGTCTCTCTCTATCAAGTAAATAAATCTTTAAATAATAATAATAATAAAATGTAAAGTCATACATTAGGTAAATACCAATGCTAATTTATTCAGACTTAATTTTCTCTGCTTAAGTATTAGACTCAAATATTCTTTGCATTTCTCTTCAGTGATATCATCTGTATTCTTCCTAAGAGGGCCATTTAGATATAACTTCTGAAAGTGGACCTGATGCATTTAACAGATGTTTAACAACTACAGTACTGCAATACTAGCCTATCGTATTAATGAAATAAAAAGCATTTTAAATTAGAACTTTAAATATTTTTTACCTTTGGTGACTACCCTCTAGCCAAGAAAATTACGTTAAATATGCGATAAAGAAAACCCCAAACATAAATTCAACTAAGACAGGAAACTTGTCAGACAACCTCCGGGAAATGTCAAGAAATCTGTACAACTTGAAAAATCAGAGGAAAAAGCAAAATCAACTGACAATTTGAAGTTAAACAAGGTGAGTGCACCCTACCCTACAACAAACACTAGTGACATCCACCACCCAAATGTCAGGTCTTGCCAAGAAAAGCAGCATTACTTCCATTCACTTGGCTTGTAATAGGCTAAGCTACTTTCTTCTTTTTTTTTTCTAATTGTTTTAGGTAAACTCCACACCCCCTAGGGCTCAATCTCACAACCTGGAAATCAAGAGTTGCATGCTCCATGACTGAGCCAGCCAGGCGCCGCAGAGCTAAGCTACTTTCACATTGCAGAATGTGTTGACAACTTTTCTATGTAAGCCAAATATTTTTTGTTGTATCTGCCAGTGAAAAAATTTGGAGAGGGCGCCTGGGTGGCTCAGTCGGTTGGGCGACTGCCTTCGGCTCAGGTCGTGGTCCTGGAGTCCCGGGATCGAGTCCCGCATTGGGCTCCCTGCTCGGCGGGGAGTCTGCTTCTCCCTCTGACCCTCCCCCCTCTCGTGCTCTCTGTCTCTCATTCTCTCTCTCAAATAAATAAATAAAATCTTTAAAAAAAAAAAAATTTGGAGAATATAATGAAATACGATTTTTTTAATCATCCTTATGCCTACCACCCAAAGATAAACATTATTAACATAGTATACTTGTCTTTTTTTTTTTCTTGTTTTAACAGTTGTTCTATACTATAATTTTGGGTCCTGTCTCAGTTGATTAGGAGCCAGGCATTTTCCAACATAATTTCAAACAGTATTGTAATCACTTCATAATTTATGTGGAATATACAATGAATAAAGGTTAACAATTCCTTAATACAACTATACCATTTCTAATTCCTTACAACCATCCTGAAAAGTCACTTTTTTTTAAATTTATTTATGAGAGAGAGAGGGAGGGAGAGAGTGCAGCATGGGGAGGGGCAGAGGGAGAGGGGAGAAGCAGACTCCCCGCTGAGCAGGGAGCCTGCCTCTGTGGATCCCAGGACCCAAAGCGAAGGCAGACATTCAACCGACTGAGCCACCCGGGCGCCCCTCCATGTCACACTTTAAAAATCTGGAGTTCTGGGGCACCTGTGACTCAGTCGGTTAAGTGTCTGCCTTCAGCTCCGGGTTGTGATCCTAGGATCCAGGGATCGAGTCTCGCATCTGGCTCTCTGCTCAGCGGGGAGCCGGCTTCTCCCTCTGCCCCTACCTCCCACTTCTGTGCAGTCTCTCTCAAATAATAAATAAATCTTAAAAAAATAAAATAAAATAAATAAATCTTCAAAAATGCATAACCCCATTCTAATTATGAATATACCTCAAACTAAAACTGATAGTTATTCTACAAAGTAACTGGCCTATATTCTTCAAATAGGTCAATATTATGAAACAGAGGAAAGGAAGTTCCACATTAAAAATGACTGAAGAGGGGCGCCTGGGTGGCTCAGTCGTTAAGTGTCTGCCTTCGGCTCAGGTCATGATCCCAGGGCCCTGGGATCGAGCCCCGCATCGTGCTCCCTGCTCGGCGGGAAGACTGCTTCTCCCTCTCCCACTTCCCCTGCTTGTGTTCCTGCTCTGGTTGTGTCTCTGTCAAATAAGTAAAATCTTTAAAAAAAAAAAAAAAGACAAGAGAACGTACATCTGAATACAATGTATGATAAAGGACTTAATTAGCTAAAAAAAGAACATTATTGAGACAACTGGGACTATAGTAATATAGTCCGTAGATTACAGGAGTTGATTTCCTGATTTTTTAACAACTGTTCTGTAATTATGACCTTGACAAAAAACATAATGAAGTACTCAGATGTGGTATTCACCACATCTACAACTTACTCTCAAAAGGTTGTGGGGGAAAACCGTATGTAGTTTCTTTTTTGTAGGAAGGAGAAAAATATAAACATGGTAAAAATGTTAGTATCTGGGAGATCTGGATGAAGGATATTCAGGAATTATGTGTACTATTCTTATTTAACTCTCAAAGCATGTTTTTGGGGGGGGTTTTCTTTTTAAGTGAGGTTCAAAGAGACTTAAGTAATTCATCTAGTTGGTAAAGCGACAGACCCACTTTATTCAGAATCTAAGAGTTAATGGTCTTCTGTTTTACATCCTTCTGCTTTTGATAGAGGTGTCCTGAGATAACCTACCTTTGGACATTTAGAATTGGGCAACAAACATCTTACAGAATAAAGCGCTATCCTCACCCCCAGTTTAAGGTTGCTTCCTTAGGAAATACTTCCTAGAATGAGATTCATGCATAAATGAACATGAACAATGTTATTTATACTGCTTTTTTGAGAAATTCTCACCATACTTTTTTCAAAAGGAAAACTAGGAATCTAAGGGTCTAAGAATCCTTCCCACAGTTCAGTGGGCAGTTTTTATCTAATTACATAAAATGAGCCATCCCCAAAGTGCCCATGGAAAACTATTAGTGACAACAACCCTTGAGAGGAAGAGAGCCCTCCCTCCTCCAGTCTGGAGACTGATTCACTGGAAATCAGCCCAAGGACTCTACTTGGGTGGGAGATAGAAAAATTTACATTCCCAACATTTCATTTGGCCCTCTTTAAAAGATTACACTTTTTTTTTCTTTTTTAGTTTTTTTTTAAAGATGTTACTTATTTATCTGAGAGAGAGAGAATAAGCAGGGACAAGAGGGAGAAGCAGGTTCCCTGCTGAGCAGGGAGGCCGATGGTGGGCTCCACCCCAAACCCTGGGATCATGACCCGAACCAAAGAGAGACGCTTAACCAACTGAGCCACCCAGCAACCCTAAAAGATTACACTTAAAGAAAAAAAAAAAAAAGATTTTTATTCTGAAGTAAACTCTACACCCAGTGTGTTGCTTAAACCTACAATGTGAGATCAAGAGTCGCACGCTCCACCAACTGAGCCAGCGAGGCACCCCTAAAAGATTACACTTTTAATCTTGACTGATTGGATAAACAGCAAAATGTTGTTTTAATTTATATTTGATTATAAACAAGGTTGCACCTATGATTACTCATAACTTGTATTTCTTTTTTGATAAGAAAATGTTTCATGAATAGGGCCTCCTGGGTGGCTCAGTCGATAAGCATCTGATTTCGGCTCAGGTCATGATCCCAGGGTCCTGAGATCGAGCCCCGCATAGGGCTCCTGCTCCACGGGAAGCCTGCTTCTCCCTCTCCCACTCCTCCTGCTTGTGTTCCCTCCCTCACTGTGTCTCTCTGTCAAATAAATAAATAAAATCTTAAAAAAAAAAAGTTTCATGAATAGCCTCTTAATCATTCACCTATAAGAGGGCCTAGTATAAAACGTTAAAATTTTTCCAACAAGAGGTAGTCTTTCATATCAGTTGTGAATAATTATCTATCGGGGTAAATGTATTTAGGAATAAACACTGAACAGTAGAGTTTTAAGTCTATGGATAGAAGCAAAATTTAAGGCTAACCTTATACAGAAAAATGTAAAGGAACAACAGAGTCTACGCTCTCTGTCTCCCTTAACATCAACAGAGCACTTGGTTATGACTGAATATAAAAAAGTACTTGTAGGGGCGCCTGGGTGGCTCAGATGGTTGGGCGTCTGCTTTCAGCTCGGGTCATGATCCCGGGGTCCTGGGATTGAGTCCCGCATCGGGCTTCCTGCTCCTTGGGAGCCTGCTTCTCCCTCTGCTTCTCTCTCTCTCTCTCTCTCTCTCTCTCTCTCTCTCTCTGTCTCTCATGAATAAATAAAATCTCATGAATAAATAAATAAAATCTCATGAATAAATAAATAAAATCTTTAAAAAAAAACTACTTGTAATCAGCTGTCAAAGTATAGTCAAATCATCAATCTGAAATTTATGACGGGCTTCTGAAAAAAGGTTTGCAAATCTAGTCAAAAACATGTATAAAATGTTCGATTTTGGGGGCACCTGGGTGGCTCAGTTGGTTAAGTGTCTGCCTTCGGCTCTGGTCATGATACTGGAGTCCCGGGATCGAGTCCTGCATCGGGCTCCCTGCTGGGCGGGGTCTGCTGCTCCCTCTGACCCTTGCCCTCATGCTCTCACTCTCATTCTCTCTCAAATAAATAAAATCTTTAAAAAGGAAATGAATAAAAACAAGATTCAAAATCCTAAGGTATCCAACAAAGGAGAATATGTGCTCCCTAATTAACGTAACTCTACACAAGAGTTCCACAAAAACTTACCTGTACTACTTGTTTCTGTAGTTGTGATGCCTGTGTCGCTGAAATTTGTGTTTTTTCCCGAGCACCTCGGGAACGGTCACTGCTCACCGAAGTCATCATATACAGTATATACAAAATAACGTATGTACAAAATAGAAAATCTGCAAGAAAGCAGGCATGGTAGTAAGCAAAACTTCCAAATCATAGTAAAAGATAATAATAAAATTCAGGAATAAGGAGAAAACACAAGACAAAACATAACAGCTCTCTAAAACAGAAATTCTCAGGGCAACTGGGTGGCTGAGTGGGTTAAGCTTCTGCCTTCGGCTCAGGTCATGATCCCAGGGTCCTGGGATTGAGCCCCGCTGCAGGCTCCCTGCTCATCGGGGAGTCTGCTTCTCCCTCTCTCTCTCCCTCTGCCTCTGCCCCTGTGTATGCTCTTTTTCTCTCAAATAAATAAAATCTTTAAAACAAAAACAAAACAAAAACACCACAATTCTCAAGAAACAACCCATTAGGATTTTACATTTTCCTAGTAACAATTAAGCTAATTTTACTAATGCAATCTAAAAGTCTATGGTTGGGGCACCTGGCTGACTCAGACAGTGGAGTGTGCAACTCTTAGTCTCGGGGTTATGAGTTTGAGTCCCATACTGGGTGCAGAGATTACTTAAAAACAGTATCTCAGAGGTGCCTGGGTGGCTCAGTCAGTTAAGTGTCTGCCTTTGGCTCAGGTCACAATCTCAGGATCCTAGGATCAAGCCGTGCCATCAGGCTCCCTACTCAGTGAGGAGTCTGCCTCTCTCCCAGCTCATGCGCTCTCTTTCAAATAAAAACAAAAAATAAAATCTTAGGGGCGCCTGGGTGGTGCAGTCAGTTAAGCATCTGAGTTTTTATTTCAGTTCGGGTCGTGATATCAGGGTCACGAAATTGAGCCCCATGTGGGACTTCATGCTCAGCACACAGTCTGCTTAAAACTCTCTCTCTCCCTTCCCCCCCTCCCCGCCCACACTCTCACTTGCGCTCTAAAATAAATCTTTTTAAAAAATAAAATTAGGGGCGCCTGGGTGGCTCAGTCGTTAAGCATCTGCCTCCGGCTCAGGTCATGATCCCAGCATCCTGGGATCGAGCCCCACATCGGGGGTCCCTGCTCCGCGGGAAGCCTGTTTCTCCCTCTCCCACTCCCCCTGCTTGTGTTCCCTCTCTCGCTGTGTCTCTGTCAGATAAATAAATAAAATCTTAAAAAAATTAAATTAAATTAAATTAAATTAAATTAAATTAAATTAAAAGGGCGCCTGGGTGGCTCAGTCGGTTAAGCGTCTGCCTTTGGCTCAGGTCATGATCCCAGGGTCCTGGGATCGAGTTCCACATCGGGCTCCCCGCTCCCCAGGGAGCCTGCTTCTCTCTGCCTCTGCCTTTCTCTGTGTATCTCATGAAAAATCAAAATCTTTAAAAAATAGGGGCACCTGGGTGGCTCAGTCGTTAAACATCTGCCTTCAGCTCAGGTCATGATCCCAGGGCCCTGGGATCGAGCCCCTCATCGGGCTCCCTGCTCCACAGGAAGGCTGCTTCTCCCTCTCCCGCTCCCCCTGCTTATGTTCCCTCTCTCACTGTGTCTCTGTCAAATAAATAAATAAAATCTGTAAAAAAAATCTTTAAAAAATAATAGAAAAATAAAATCTTAAAAATAAAGAAATAAAAGTCTATGGTTTATGAATATAGCAATTCTAACCAAAAATCTCAAATATCACCAATTGTTCTTTTTTTTTTTTTAAAGATTTTATTTATTTATTTATTTGTGAGAGAGAGAATGAGAGATAGACAGCACGAGAGGGAAGAGGGTCGGAGGGAGAAGCAGACTCCCTGCTGAGCAGGGAACCCGATGTGGGACTCGATCCTGGGACTCCAGGATCATGACCTGAGCCGAAGGCAGTCGCTCAACCAACTGAGCCACCCAGGTGCCCATCACCAATTGTTCTTAACCAGTATTTATTTTACCATTATTTTTTTTAAAGATTTTATTTATTCATTTGAGACACAGAGATACAGAGAGACAAACAGAGCATGAGTGGGGGAGAGGCATAAGCAGGCTTCCCGCTGAGCAGGGAGCCTGACACGGGGCTTGATCGCAGGTCCCTGGGATCATGACCTGAGCCAAAGGCAGATGCTTAATGACTGAGCCACTCAGGCACCCTGTACAATAAGAATTAAAAATAGAAATTAGGGGTACCTGGGTGGCTCAGTGAGCTGGGCGTCTGCCTTCATGATCTAGGGGTCCTGGGATGGAGCCCCACCATCTGGCTTTCTGCTCTGCAGGGAGTCTGCTTCTCTCTCTCCCTCTGCCCCTCCCCCAACTCATGTTCTCTCTCTCTCAAATAAGTAAAATCTTTAAGAAAATAGATAGGGTGCCTGGGAGGCTCAGTAAGTGAAGCATCTGCCTTTAGCTCAGGTCATGATCCCAGGGTCCTGGGATCGAGTCCCGCATCAGGCTCCCTGCTCACTGGGAAGTCTGCTTCTCCCTCCACCCCTCACCCCTGCTCATGATCTCTCTCTCTCTCATGCTCTCTATAATAAAATCCTTAAAAACCAATCAATCAATAAAAATAAAAACAGGAATTAAGGGCGCCTGGGTGGCTCAGTTGGTTAAGCGACTGCCTTCGGCTCAGGTCATGATCCTGGAGTCCCGGGATCGAGTCCCACATCGGGCTCCCTGCTCAGCAGAGAGTCTGCTTCTCCTTCTCACCCTCCTCCCTCTCATGCTCTCTGTCTCTCATTCTCTCTCTCAAATAAATAAATAAAATCTTTAAAATAAAAAAAAAAAAAACAGGAATTAAATTTTGGACAGGATGCAGAGAAACTGTAACCCTTGTATACTGCTAGTGGAAATGTAAAATGGAACAGCCAGTACAGAAAACAGTATAGCAACCTCAAAAAAAAAAAAAATTATCTCATTTAGCAATTCCACTTCTGAGCAATTCCACTTCTGAGCAATTCCACTTCTGAGAAAAAAAAAAAACTGAAAGCGGGGTCTCAATGAGGTATTTGTATACCCATGTTCATAGCACTACTATACCCAATAGCTAAAAAGTGAAAGCAACCCAAGTCTCTACCAAGAGATAAGTGGATAAGCAAAATGTAGCATATACATAAGAGGCTGAGTAATATTCTATTTTTTTTTTTTTTTTTTTTTTTAGTTTTTATGTGGGGCTTGAACTCACAACCCTGAGATCAAGAGTCACACGTTCCACCAACTGAGCCAGCCAGGCACCCCTATTATTCAGCCTTAAGAAGGAAGAAAATTCGGGCACCTGGGTGGCTCAGTTGGTTAAGCATATGTCTTCAGCTCAGGTCATGATTCCAAGGTCCTGGGATCAAGTCCCGCCTCGGGCTCCCTGCTCCTTGGGAGCCTGCTTTTCCCTCTGCCCCCCCCCCCGTCTCTCATGAATAAATAAAATCTTTGAAGAAAAAAAAGATTTTTTTTTTAGTAGGCTCTACACCTAACATGGGACTTGAACTCATGACCTGGAGATAGATCCAAAGGCTGAACCAGCCAGGTGTCCCAAAAAAGAAGAAAATTCTGACACATGCTATATATGGATGAACCAGGAGCATTACGCTAAGTAAAATAAGCCAGTCACAAAAGGACAAATACTCCATGACTCTACTTATATGAGTTACCTACAATAGTCAAATTCAAAGATTTATTTATAAGAGAGAGAAAGAGCACAAGTGAGTGAGAGTGAGCACTGGGGAGGAGTAGAGGAGAGGGAGAGAGTCTCAAGCAGATACCACACTGAGTGCAACCCTTAGGGTCCTGACTTAAGCCGAAACCAAGTTTCATACACTTAACCAACTGTGTCCCCCAGGCGCCCCTACAATAAGTCAAATTCATAGTCAAGGGGCACCTGGGTGGCACAGTCGGTTAGGTGTCCAGCTCTTGGTTTTGGTTCAGGTTGTGATCTCAGGACCCTAAGATTCAGGCTCTGCACTCAATGCAGAGTCTGCTTGGGATTCTCTCTCTCCTCTCCCTGTGCCCCCCTTGTACCCCCCCATTAACTCCCTCTCAAATAAATAAATCTTAGGGGCATTTGTGTGGCTCAAGTCAGTTAAGCATCTGCCTTCAGATGGTGACCCGGAGGTGCTGGGATCGAGCCCACATCGGGCTCTCTGCTCAATGGGGAGCCTGCTTCTCCCTCTCCACTCTGCCCTTCCCCTGCTTGTGCTCGTTCTCTTTCAAATAAATAAATAAAATCTATTAAAAACAAATTAAATAAATAAATCTTTTTAAAAATTCATAGTCGGGGCACCTGGGTGGCTCAGTTGGTTAAGCAACTGCCTTCGGCTCAGGTCATGATCCTGGAGTCCCGGGATCGAGTCCCGCATTGGGCTCCCTGCTCGGCAGGGAGTCTGCTTCTCCCTCTGACCCTCCCCCCCCATACTCTCTCTCTCTCAAAATAAATAAAATCTAAAAAAAATTTTTTTGAAGTATAAATAAAAATTCATAGTCAAATCTGAAAGTGGTCACCCAGGGGCTGAGAGTTGGAGGGACTGGGGAGTTCTGCTTAATGGTTTTGGAATTTCTGGGAAGATAAAAAGTTCTAAAGAAAGATGGTAGTGCTGATCACAAAACCATCTGAACGTACTTAATTCCAGAGAAATGTACACTTAAAAGCTGTTAAAAAAGCCAATTTTATTTTGTATATTTTACCCCAATTTTAAAAAACAATGCAGCAATGCCTTAAAAGTTTCATTTCCAAGTTCAAATTCTACACTCGGCAAAAATACCAAATGGGACATCTGGCTAGCTCAATCAGTAGAGCATGTGACTCTTGATCTTGGGGCTATGGGTTCCAGCCCCACAATGAGTGCAGTAATTACTTAAAAATAAAACCTAAGGGTGCATGGGTAGTTCAGTCAGTTAAGCATCTGCCTTCGGCTCAGATCATGATCCTGCAGTCCCGGGGTCAAGCCCCTCACAGGGCTCCCTGCTCAGCAGGGAGTCTGCTTCTCCCTCTGCCCCTCACCTCACTTGTGCTCTCACTCACGCACATGCTCTCTTCTCTCTCTCATATAAATAAAATCTTTCAAAAAATAAATAAAATCTAAAAAAAATGGGGATGCCTGGCTGGCTCAGTTTATAGAACAAACAAATCTTAAGAGT